TGATCAGTCCCCTCCCCCTCCGTGTCCATTGCCCAACTCCCCCACGCCTCTCGCGCCCGCCGCCCCACCACCACCCCCGCCCACGCCCAGGTAACCGCCTCATCGTCATCGGCCCCTGCGATCTCGGCCTCATCTCATCGGCCGTCGCCATGGACCAGCGGCACACGGGTTTGCTGAGTCGTGACAGTGGTTTTCTTCTGTGCCGCCTCTGCAGGGAGAGGGGGTCTACTGGGTTGCGTACAGGCGAAAGGTACGCGCCGCCGCTGCCGCGCGAGCCTCTCCGTCCCGGTCGCCGCGCAGATGGGCTCGTCGTCGGAGCCGCTGTCGAGGGGCCTGTACGCGCAAGTAGAGCCGTACGACTCCGGGTTCCTCAAGGTCTCCGATGTCCACACCATCTACTACGAGCAGTCCGGGAACCCGCAGGGCCATGTGAGCGTCTAATTCCTCTCTCTCTCTGTGTTGAATTTGATATATCGGGGGATTTTGATATCCCAGTTCGCTGAGCCTCGTACACCCAGCGAAGCATTTGCTAGAACTGTATGGTTGCTCTGCTCTTATGAGATGAGCTTCTCATCCCGTCAATTTTGCAGCCGGTGGTGTTTCTCCACGGCGGTCCGGGAGCCGGCACGTCGCCTGGCAACAGGAGGTTCTTTGATCCGGAGTTCTACAGGATCGTTCTGTTTGACCAGGTCATCTTGGTGACTCGTGTCATTTTTTTTAATCATAACCAAAAGGGGGGTTGTGTGTTGTCCTTGATCTGTGTCGTGGTTTGATTGCAGAGGGGTGCAGGCAGAAGCACTCCCCATGCTTGTTTAGAGCAGAACACTACTTGGGACTTGGTGGCTGACATTGAGAAGCTCAGGGAGCATCTTGACATCCCGGAATGGCAGGCAAGGCAATTATCTTCTTTTTTTCAACAACATTGATTACTCACCTTTCAGTGCTGGAACTCAATGCTGTCAGACAATGTAGGTGTTTGGTGGTTCATGGGGAAGCACCTTAGCACTTGCCTACAGCCAGGAGCACCCTGATAAGGTGATGGATTTTTTTTGTCTGATGTATTCTGTATTTGAGCATGAATCTCTTATAGCAAATAATAATTGTGCAGCAGAGCCATGCTGTAGATCTCACTAACGCTCCCTGTATGCTCACTAGGTCACTGGCCTTGTCCTTAGAGGAATTTTCTTGCTTAGGAAAAAGGAGCTCGATTGGTTCTATGAGGGTGGTGCAGCAGCCATTTTCCCAGATGGTTTGTATGTTTTTTGTTTTATGTTCTATAAACCGAAAAAAAAACTTCCCTAAACATTACCAAGTATTTCGTCAATGTTCCATAATGGTACTGGGCTACTGGCAACTTATATTAACTATGTTAAATCTGTTTCAGCAATTATAGTTGAATTTAAATGACATATTGTTAATGCAATGTGTTCTATTTTTCTATATCAAAATCATTTTACTTTCTGGGTTTATGAAAGAAAAACCACCTATGTACCATTTTTTTTGTTTTGAGTACATTAACAGCTTCAGTTTTAAATCTGCAGCATGGGAACCATTTAGAGATTTTATTCCCGAGGATGAAAGGAATTGTTTCATAGATGCGTATAACAAAAGGTTAACTTCATCTGATCCTATTGTTCAGGTAGCCCCATATTTTTCCTTATGAAAGTAAATACATTATGATATATTTCTGGTGCCTTCTCATAGTTTTTTTTGTATCATTACTTAAAAGGCAAGATTCTGGTGGTCTTGCATTTATTATTTTTAATAAAAACGGACATTTTCCTTTTCCCAATTAGGTTGAAGCTGCTAAGCGCTGGACGATGTGGGAGATGATGACGGCGCATCTTATCCAAAACAATGATAACATTAAACGAGGAGAAGATGACAACTTTTCCCTGGCAAGTCCTCTCACACAAGCATTGTACTTTTCTTTGTAACACTAGCACTATTTCAATTTCTTTTGTTTCCCCTGCTTGGTTGTATTTTTTTTTTCTTGTTTTCATCTGATTTTAGCTCTGTACAGAAATCGAAGGAAGAATGCCTTCTAAGGGACCTGCAGAGTTCTTCTTGAACTCTATATATTCTCAATATTACTCTGGACTTAAAATAGCAACAATAAGCAATCATTGTATAAGCACAATTTGGAAAACCTACTCCCTAGTGCTAATAAACTGTTGCCCCGATGGCTGTAGAAATCTGCATTGAGTCCTAGCAGCTTCCAGGCTGAATCCGCTAAACAGTTTGTTTTGTAGAGAAGCGATTCTTTGCTGATTTTGTGAAGGGATTTCTGAAATGAACTAGGAGACTAGGAGTTGGAGAAAAAAAAGTAGCTTCTCGTTCACTTCAGGCACATAATCACTTCTCTTAGAGAAACACTTTCAACCATAGAATCACTTCTCTTAGAGAACCACTCCTCACAGAGAACAGGCCTAAAGCTACAAAGACCAACATATATTTTTTACAAGACATGTTCTAGTCAACACTTTTATGATTTATGTGGTCAGGTTACATATTCTCTTTATTTGCTGATGCACAGTTCAATGTATTTTTCAGGCATTTGCAAGGATTGAAAATCACTATTTTGTGAATAAGGGATTTTTACCCTCGGACTCATTCCTACTGGACAATGTTGATAAGATCCGACATATTAAAGCTTTTATTGTACAGGTATGCTTGTCAATGAGGTTTGTTGTTTTCATAATGTCCATGTGCGTCTACTAGAAGCCAAAACATATTATAATTTCAAATTGAGGGAGTGGATATTATATTTCACAAATCAAGTTGTGCATTGCCTTTAGCTCTTCATGCCTACCTTTAGTTGTCATTGTACTTTTTGTCAAGCATGTTTTTTTTTTATTGTCTTGCATGGTTGTACTTTTTGTCAAGCATGTTGTTTTTGTTATTGTCTTGCATGGTTGCCTGGATAATTTGGAATTCAAATCCAGGATAGGTATCAAATTGGTAAAATATAAGCTTGCTTGCACCTGAGTGCTTTATGTTGCAGGGACGATATGATGTTTGTTGCCCTATGATGTCTGCTTGGGATCTTCATAAGGCTTGGCCTGAAGCAGAATTCAAGGTAAGATGGTCTTCCAGTCATTCCTCCAACTTACTATCTATGTTATTCATGTCAGAACGGCGATTTAATAGGATTGTTATATTGAAGAACCAAAATAGTTTTTTTTAAGAGTTTGGGTTGTGAATGAACCAGTGGCAGAAATTGGTGTCATATTGTCATCAATTGTTTTCTCGTCATCAACATAAGACATCGTCAAGCAATGACAATCTTTTAAAGTCACATATAAGAATTTTTTGTAGTATATGGCTACCAAACTGAAGCATGAAGACATGGTATGCTTTGTACGTAGTGTGTAGCACTAAGTAGTTATAGACATGTCTTTTTGACTCAGATTTGCCATGACTAATCATGCCTCACATGTTTTTGCTTGCTTTGACAAGAGACAGCATGCTATTAGGGATGCAAGGGTTGGTCTTTGAACCCGCATTTAGGCCACATGATATTTTGCTTAGATGGCTGCAAACAATCACTTTTTGGTAGAACTGACATATCTTCCCTTTAAGGAACTCATGGTTTAACTTATGTAACGCTTAGGCAATATTCAGAAAGGACCTTGGCAAATTCACCAGTTTTTTTTTAGAATTATGCCTTAACATCGATAATTTGACCGGATATAACTCCTTCACTGGATGCAGGTGGTACCAGATGCAGGGCACTCGGCCACATGATCGTTTCTGTGGCTTATAAGCCGGCTGATGCTGTTTTGTTGTGAGAGAAAAACAATGTATCATGACTGATAAGCATGACTGATACGATCAAGCGAACAGGGTGGAAGTAGGCATCGCTGCCGAACTGAGGTCAGCCACCGAGAAGCTGAGAGACTTGTTGCGCAAATGAGCCGGCGAAAGGCAAGTTGCACCTCTATCTGATGATGAAATGCAGAGGATGGGAATAATTACATAGCTGTAACGGTTAGCAGAGCGTGATTGTAATGTGCCGTTAAACAATGTCACTGTCAAAGATCCCTTTCACAATTAGAGCAGGCTTGACTCCAGGGTATATTCTGAACTCGCTGGAGTGTTTGAGGAATTGAAATTTCAAGATTGGACCAAACTGACGCTGCCGTGGCATTAGCATACGCCTGAATGGATCGTGACTCGTGAGCATACGATTTACCTCATCTAGCATCACTTGCCGATGAACTCACAGAATCCGTAGCAAAGCAACGCCACTATAGCCCCGAACATTCACGGTGCAGAACACGCTCAAGCTTACTTGTATCTTAGTTATACCACATCCTCCGACAACATTACAGTTACAGCAATCCTCGTCTAGCAAACATCTTACATAACACAGCAGTCTGGTAAAAGTCAGTCCTTGAAGAACCTGACGCACTAAGCCTAAAAACCCAAGCATACAGCAGATGAGCTAAGGAAAACAAAAGCAGCAGTCATCCATGCGGTCCCATTCTATAGTAAATTCACTTGCCAGTTGCCACAACACATACACACCATGCACCATGCCTTCATCTCCTTCCAGTTTAGCCTGTTCGCTTGTTGGTTTCAGCCAGCTCAAACCAGTCAGCCAACAGTGTTTTCCTCTAAAAAAAAACTAGCATCAGCCAACCCAAATCAGCACCAGCACCAGCCAGCGAACAGGCCCGTTACTAAGACTCCTAAGCAGCACACGTGCTGCCACACATAAGGTTCCTGCGGGCAAGACACAAAAAAGTTACATCAGTAAATCATTTTTTTTTACAAAAGTCGTTCCAAATTTTTTTATTTAAGTTTGAACAGAAGTAAATGAACCAGACGCCTTCTTGACATAATAGTAGGTATATGCTGGGTTTTCTGATAAATTGACCAATGGTCTGCTCATTCTCAAGTTTCACAAATGGATTTTAGAGTTTCACTGGATTGTAATCACTGTTAACAGACTACTATCATCATATGATCAACTAGGTAAACAATGGAAAGACAGCTTACATTATAGAGCATCCGGAGCCACGCCTGTTTTTCTTCCTGGCAGGCATTGCCTCCCATCTCCGTGGGGGTTGAAGGACCACTTTAATGGCTGTATCGAAGACAGACTTGACATTCTGGTATGGCCAACATAATTAAACAAAAAGTCAGTAAATTTGTCTATTACCAACAATCCATACGTGTCTAATTTTAATTAACCAAACAGCAAACCGTATTTGAAACAGGACATAACCGATCAAAATCATTCCATATGGGCCATGACTACCTGCTGGGTTTTGGAACTGCACTCGATGTAAGCTGCAGCACCAATCTGCTTCCTCAGTTCTTCACCCTGCAGAACAAGAGGAAGAGGAATTAGGAGAAATTGTATCGCACTTCTGATAACTATCTGCTGGTAAGATATGGCATTCAGCATTGAAACTAGGTTAGACTGTGAAAGAGCAAACCTGTGCCGTCGTGATTGTCGAAGCTCCAGGATGGTCAGCAAGGTAGGCTCTGTGGTCACGGAGATCTGGACAGTTCAACCAAATCCCTTAATTAGCTATTGGAACTATGAAGAACAACCCCGACGACGAATATGTGGCATAAAGGTCCATGAATTAAGGTCACATTCAGCGCACTAGCTCACCTAACTTGGTCCCAACAAGAACAACCGGAACGTTGGGCGCAAATCGGCGAAGCTCTGGCATCCACTGTTTGTTCAGAAATAGAATGATCAGTTCATAATGCTCCAGCCATCATAACCAATTCTGAGAAGCAAAAACTGCTAGTAGGTATGAAGCTGTTCGCGAAAGGTGGCCAGTCGCAAGGAAAAAGAAGATCCTCTGCAGCTACTTTGGGCAGTATTATTATTATCATGTGTCAGAGGTTTAGATATCTTAAATGTACAATGGAATTTCATGTTTTCCTGACTGGATCCTCGCACTACACAGGCACTTGCACTAGAATTCAAGGCTTTCTTAGGTTCTGTATCTACAAACACACTCTTAAGAACATTCTCATAGCTTGCCCACCGGACAAGACAAGCACATGTTGATCCTATCACCATACCTTCTTAAGAACATTCTCATAGCTCGCCCTGCTGATCAGGGAGAAAGCCAGCACGAACACATCTGCGCCCCTGTAGCTCAGTGGCCGCAGCCTGCTGTAGTCCTCTTGCCCTGAACGAAACAGAGAAGGGAGGGAACAATCTCAGACTCTGCGCGCATGTAAACCATTTTAGCCGTGGGAGCGGAAGCAGCAGCAGTACCTGCAGTGTCCCAGAGGCCCAGGTTGACGATGTTGCCATCCACGGAGACGTTGGCGCTGAAGTTGTCGAACACCGTGGGGATGTAATCCTGTCAGGAACCACACGAACAGAGCTCCGTCAGGTTCAGCATCCAGAGAACGGGATGCGCATCGCGAGCTGACGATCCCCATTCCCTTTCCTCGCAGGGAAAGGGACAGCCGGACAGGAGCAGATGGTGACTGGTGAGTGAGTAAATGCCTACTGCTGATGCTGGAAAGCATCAATGGAACTACTAGGTTGGATTAAAATACAAACTGTAAAAAAATGCGTTGCTTCTACCACTGGACGGCCATTTCCGTTTACTGGAAGGTGAGAAGAAACGAGCCAAAAAGATTGGGGAACCAAATCGAGCAGAATCTGACGATTGGAAGGACGAGGACGAGATGGGCGCGGCGAGATGAGCATTACCGTGGGGAACTTGTTGCTGGTATAGCAGATGAGCATGCAGGTCTTGCCCACGGCGCCGTCCCCGACCGTGACGCACTTGATGAACTTGGTCACGCTCATCTCTCCCCGCCGCGGCCTCCTTCTCCCGCTCAGGCTGCGGCCCTCCGCCCTCGCCTCCTCACACTCTCACTCACAGTACGAACAGGCAGCAGAAGCTACTGCTCCGAGAAGCAGCACCAGCAAGCGAGCAGGAAGGGACAAGAACGGAATGGTTGCCTCGCTTTGCTTGTCTTCTCCAAGAAGGCAGGCCACTAACCTCGCCCCGCTCCACTCCACGCCAAGCAAGCCAAGACAGAGACAGGCAAGGCAAAGGCACCGCACCGGCACCCGCACCGGCCTGCCGCCTCCTTAAAGAACTCGCCGCTCGCAGCTGGCTGCCTGGCTGTGCTGTGCGCCCTGCTAGCTGCTGCTACCGCTGGCCTAGGGAGGCGTGGTGTAAATGCGAGGCCGCAGGACACTGGACAGAGAGGGCGGAGGGCCGGTCAAGATTCAACAAGAAGGTCACTTGCCGGCTTGCCGCAAGTGCCCTTCTCCTGATGAGGCCACCCAGGCCAGACGAGCTGACAGCTCTGCATCTGTTCACACCCGCCGGTGCTGCCACTGTACGCCCGGCCCTTCCCCTTCCTTGCCGTGATTACCCATACAGATAGCTTGCTTGCCCTCGTGGTACAGGATCTATCAACGCGTCCTGTGCGGGAGTAGGAGGAGTATCGCAGTACTCAGCCGCATGTTCAGGAGGCCGTATCATATCATGAATTATTTACTGCTGGTTAATTTGATGTGAAAAAAATACTATTTTTAACTGAAAATTTACGATCAAGCGAACAGGGCACGATCACGAATCGAGAGGACACGGTAGGCCCGGCCCATACTACTCGGGTCTCCATTTGTTGTGCTACACGTGAAAGAGCGGAATATTCAAATTTCTTACGAGTACTGGTAGTAATGTAGAGTAAAGCTATCTAAAACCTAGGAACTAAAAAAAACACGCAGGAATAAGGTACGATGAAAAATGAAAAACTATAGGATTTTAAGATACAGGAACAGAAAATTTAGACTGTTTAGAACACAAGAATTTATAACATAGGAATTGTAACATGTTAAACAAATATGGATACTAATTACTATATCTATTAGGCATGGATATGACCCCACCATGTTCTTCTCGCCTTAACTACTCTTTTTTCTCTCCACTTCACACGCGCTACCTCGGGCTTCAGCGAAGGAAAACAAAACAATGGATCAGACTGGATTATTTCATTCCCGTGAAATTGCTTCGCAGCTACAGTATTCCGGAGAATCGGTTTGGGCGATTCCTCCGTTCCAAACGCTCACATGAGTTTCCTTTCCTCTGTTTCTGATTCCTGTAATTTTCCTATAGTATTCCTTCGATCCAAACACAGCCTAAGAGGGTGTTTGGTTCTCATCCCCTAAAATTTAGTCCCTGTTACATCATCTATAGTAAATATGTTAAACATATTTAACACTATTTGACGTATTAAACATAGACTAATTATAAAACTAATTATACAGATTGAGACTAATTTGTGAGACGAATCTATTAAGCCTAATTAGTCCATGATTTGATAATATGATGCTACAGTAATTAGGCTTAATAGGCTCAATAGATTCGTCTCGTGAATTAGTCACGGCTTCTGTAATTAGTTTTATTATTAATATTCGAACACCCGATGTGACAATAGATATGATATCCAATGTGACACCTCATAAACTTTAGTCCCTAAATCCAAACATCCCCTAAACTTCAGGGACTAAACTTTAGTCGCTTTTAGTCCCTAAAGTGCCAAATGAGATGACTAAAAGGTCCCTAAAGTCCTCTCTAGTCATCTAAGGGTGACTAAAAGATGGCTAAGATGATGTTTGGATCACTAGTCCAGAGACTAAAGTTTAGCCTCTAAAGTTTAGTCATACTGGGCTGTTTGGATTCATAGGCTAAACTTTAGTCCTCTAATCTACAATGACTGATTTGTCCTCAATTAATTATCCATACCCAGTCATGCATGCGAGCGGCAAGAGGTATGGGGCGTCTAGCGCCCGCTCCGAAAGAGTTTAGCCCCGTTTAAAGTCTCTTTGGAAGCAAAAGATTTTAGCCTAATTTTTAGCAATTTACTCACTTTTAGCCTACAGTTTAATAAAAAGGACTAAAAATACTGGGCTAAAGTTTTATCATACGATCTAGACAAGATGTAAAATAATTTAGAGTTTAGTCACGAGAACCAAACATGTCCTTAGCTTTACACGAAAAGCGTTCAAATTTGCTGCGCTCGAGAGCTTCAACGTTCAAATCTGGGGGAGCGTTTTATTCCACCCGAAAGAAAGCGAAAAGAGTAAAAAAAAAAAAGGAAAAAGAAAGGAGCCCGACGCTGCCTTTTGCCTTGCCTCGCCTGCAATATTCAAACCCCAACTCCAGCGGAATGGACGGGCCGCAGACCCCACACCACACCGGTCGCCGGCCCGGCCGACGAGGAGTCCCCCTGCCCCGGCACGCGGAGCGCGTGCCACGCGTGCCGGGGATCCTGTCACCTCGTCGGCGTCGTTCGCCTCAAAGCGAAGCTAATCGACCAGTGACCTGTGGGACCATGTTGTCCTTCCCCACGTGCCAGTGACGGTACCCTTTTCCGTTCCCTCCCTGCTGCCGCTCCCCGAGCCGGACAGCAAGGCAAGCCACTCGGCCTCGGCTCGGTCCTACGAGCCTCCACAGACGGACTCTCTACGGACTACTACGGCTCTAGCAGGTCTAAGTAGTAGAATTAAATGCGCGAATATCCGTCGCAAAGTTTAAAAACAACGACTGATCTACCGGGAGGTGATGCCCACCAGTCCCTGACAGGACGGGGACGCGGCGCGCTGGACCCGCAGGAATTGGGGGTGGAGTTCGTGAAGGAGCGGCGGGTCGCTGTACGGTACGGTGCGTCGGGGCCGAATTTGAATGCGCAACGGCCTGGGCAGGTGCGAGCCTGCGCGACTGACCAGGAAGTGGCCGTCGGACGAATCCAAACAAGTTCCGGCAGGACGACTTCGGATTTCGGTGGCTCCGCTACGCATTGTAGGTCCAAGTAAAGGGAGCCCGTCTTCTGGTGGGCCGTGTTCACCATGGGGGCTCCAGGTTGGGCTTCTAGGTCGGAATGCCGGCTGTGCAGTGCCGGATTCAGCCCGCTCTTTCCCTGCTCCTGGCCATCTTTTGATGCGCTATTTTCTAAAAAAAAAACATCTTTTGATGCGCTGCAGCTGATCAACAAGTTTAAGACAATATTTAAACGTGAGTCCTCTCGCTAGGATCATCCAGCTACGGCTGTTTGGTTGACCTCCTTCGACGCTCGACGCTCGACAGATGCGCGTTGTTTGTAAGTTCAAACTCTTCTTAATATAATGATACGCAAATCTTTTGCGTATTCGAGAAAAAAAAGACAATATTGACACAACTAAATCCACTGAAAGGTAGTTCCAGATGAAGGGGAGCCCACCTGCAAGTCACAACACGGGTATTCTCCCGTCTACATGGATAAGCTATTTTTGCTGAAACCGCGATACTCGGATACATTCTATTTTATTATTAAAAGATAAGACATATTAAAATTTGATGGGGCCACTGCCTCCATTTACTTAGGATGAATTTGGTCCTCGTTTTATCCTTGGTCTGGTTAGCCAGCTAAGCCAAGGCAACTCAAACGCGGCTCCCGCAATGTAAGAGACTACTATTCAATTTGCTTGGTTTGTATACATTATGTTTGGTTGCTTCTTTAGCTCGAATACAATCATTCTCATCATTGAGGAGATATAAACTCATTTCCTCGCCACAGGAGCTCCCCTCATCCTTGCGGTTGGCTGGCCTCCTTGTCTTAGGCGGCCATGGGCACCTGTCACGTTGTCGCGCGTGCTCGCATGCCTACAACCCGCTCCACCGGCACACCCTGTGGCGGGAGGTTGATTCCACGTTGGGATCCTCGAACCAGCAGCAAAGGAGGCTAAAAGCCCTAATTTGGTTTTGGTGAATTGATGAAACCCTAAGTGCTAACCTACCTGCTCTAGTGATGATGAGAATAGGGAAGCACATTCCAAGTTGTGGAGCAAACAAAGAAGATCATGGTGATGGTGGAGAGGCCATGGTGATCAAGTGCTCGGCTTGGAAAAGAAGAAAGAGAAAAACAAAAAGCTCAAGGCAAAGGTGAAACTTGATAGGAGCTTTTTGGTTTAGTGATCGAGACACTTAGCGGGTGTGATCACATTTAGGATAGATAGCCATACTATTAAGAGGGGTGAAACTCGTATCGAAATACGGTTATCAAAGTGCCACTAGATGTTCTAACTCATTGCATATGCATTTAGATCTAGTGGAGAGCTAACACCCTTAAAAATATTTGTGAAAATATGCTAACACACGTGCACAAGGTGATACGCTTGGTGGTTGGCACATTTGAGCAAGGCTGGCAAAGTTGGAGAAGAGGAGGTGTTGTTTTGCACTGACCGAAAGAGGGGCACTGCTCGATCTTCATGATCGGACTTTGCACAGTTTTGTGACCTGACGCGACGGAGGTGCGTCTGGTCAATGCTGACGTACGCTAACGTTGGGCTAACTTGTGGACCAGAGAGGAACGGACGCTGAGGCGCATCTGGTCACACGCGATCGGACGCGTCCGGTCAGCAAAAACCCTCTCTAGACCCTTACTAGAATCGATCTGACTTGAGGTGGCGTGGCGTCTGGTGAAGTGAGCGGCACATCCGGTCAGCGTTTGATGGCTTGGGCGCGCACATGGGCATTCTGTGCACCGGCGCGTCTGGTCTATTGATCGTCGTATCCGGTCACCACTTAAGCACTCGCGAGGCTAAAATCGACCGTTGGAGATTGACATGCACAGTTCAAAGCTGGGAACACGTGGCTATCATCCAACGATCGGACACTGCTGAGCGTGCGTCCGATCATGTTGTGAAAGCAGGCAACAGAGAGCCAACGACTCTATTTCGAGGGGACACCTATATAAGGTGTTTAGCCGGCTCTAGCTCACTCTCTTGGCCATTTGCATTGACATAGCAACCTTGTG